TAAAATAATTTTTACTGTGCTTATTTTCTTAATGAATTTTTAATATTAGTCCTTCACATTCCTTCTTGAAATAAACTCACTCATGGAATGTGATATTTTACTCATGTGTGGAAAGGGAGTCTTTGTTGTCATCTGAGTGTCAAATTTTTGAATGCTAAATCATCATCTAGAATTCTTTGTTACTATAAAGCTTTCCTAGTCCATTTGATACTTCTTTTCTAGATTCAGGAAGGATTTCTAAGATTTTTTTCTTGAAAGAAAGAAAGAAAGAAAGAAATCTTTAATAATGAGATGATGAAGCTCTATTTTGCAAGGAAAATAGTTTACCCAGACCTGGCTGCCAACTGCTACTTTGTCAGCCATCTGACCTCATTCTAGTTCTGCCATTGAATCTTGAAGTCATGAACCTGCTGGGCCTCCGCTCTGTTACCTGTGAAATAATTGATTTAAGCTTGAAAGAGACCCCTTCTCACCCTTACTGAGTGTCTTCCTGAGACCTTCCTTCCTCTTGCTTTCCAGATGCAGTGTTTGCGGGTGCCATGCCCACGATGGCAAGTGTTAAGCTCTCTGCACTTCGGCCCATTGTGAATCATCCACATTATGAAGACGCAGGCTTGAGGTCAGTGCACAGTCTTGCATCATCAAAACAAACCTTCCATGCAAACAGACAGTGAGTGGAGGACGCCAGCAAAGGAATGAGGAATGTTCCAAAAGGATATGATGAACTGAGGCTTATCGCGTCGGGGAGCAGAAGGCTGAAATAAGACTGCTAAGCTCTAAACAAATTCGTTAAGGCTTCACAGGGCAGGAAAGCAACAACTTTGGGGGCCATCTTCTCTACCAGGCAGAAAAAGGAAGTCATACTATAGCACTTTCCCACAGGTTAACAGGGCTCTAAAATGTCCAAGTTCTTTTCATCCTGTAACTCCCTGAAGAGTTTAGCTTAGAGTGTTTATTAAGGTTTTCTCATAGGTGATTTTTCTTGATTTTGGAGAAGTCATTTGAAATAGAATTCCATTCAAAGAGGAGTTTATTCTGGTTTTCACCAGTATAGCCTGTTAGAATGATCTTGGGTGTTTTCTGTTTTTTTAGATTTTTTTGAGACTTTAGAAAATAATTTAGAGACGTGTTGTCTAAATTATTTTTTTAATTTAATTTTTCATGCAGTTTCTAAGGCAGGTGAAGCTATTCATTTTCTAAGTGATTAGGTGAATCTTATTAGCATCTTCTTTTGCATAACAATGGCATGTACATTTACAAATAAGCTTTTTCATTAAAAAATCAATCTCATCAAGCTAATTTCCAGACAATTTTGTTAAATAAGTTTAGTTTTTCTTAAATCTAGAAATAAAATGAAGAACCATTTAGTGTGAATTACTGTTGATGTCGAAGTTGGAACTGTTGTAGCTTCAGAGTAGTCCTGTAGTTGTGTTTGCTATAGTTCATCCCTGTTCACACACAGTACCTCACTCTTACATGTGATGGAGCAGTGAAGAATTTAAGACAAATAAATAGGTGAACAAACACAAAGATGACCAAGTTTGGAAATGTAGGGGTGCGTTAAAGGTGACCCTCATCTCCCACGACTTGGCCTCCTTCTGCCTTCTGCTTTTGACCTCACTGATGCCCGTTAGCCGGAACTTCCATGGGGAATTTCCTCCTGACTGGATTCCTCTTCCTCGTCGTCTAGTCTGATTCAGTGCTTTCTTCCAAATGTGTTGATTATATCGTTTTAATCTTGAAAATTTTGTGCCCAATTATTTTTCTTTAAAGAGCCAGAACGAAAATAGTATACTCAATGTATAGTCGGAAAGCAGCTGAAGAAGTGAAGCGAGAACTGATAAAGTTAAAAGTGAACTATTACATTCTAGAAGAGTCATGGTGTGTAAGAAGATCCAAGTGAGTATCAACACAGTTAACATTTTATAATCAGAAGACATGAAGGTTAATTCAAGCACATGGCAAATACTTTGCTGGTGACAGGGGTGCGTATATAACATAAAGTATATGTGGAAAAACTTTTTTTTTTTTTTTAAACAGGCTCTCACTCTGTCGCCCAGGCTGGAGTGCACTGGCATGATCTGGGCTCACTGCAGCCTCCGCCTAATTTTTGTATTTTTAGTGGAGATGGGGTTTTGCCGTGTTGGCCAGGCTGGTCTCAAACTCCTGGCCTCAAGTGCTACTCCTGCCTTGGCCTCCCAAAGTGCTGGGACTACAGGCGTGAGCCACCACGCCTGGCCTGAAGAAACCTTTTAGATAGTGATTTGGAGACGTTGTTTTTCAGTCTTTATAAATATCTTTTTTTAAAATAATGATTTGTATGTGTGCTACCTTAAAGAGATTTTTATTGGCACTAGTTGATAATCTCCCAAATTGTTCATATTTGCTTTTGATGTTTTAAAAAAAAAAAATTCTATTTAAAGTTGGATGTATTTTCTTTCAAAAGACTTCCAGGGTCTGAAACCAAGTAATAGGGAGTCTCTTTTGGTGAAGTCAGGCAGCTGAGCACCAGGGGCCGCATTATCCGTACTGGGTCTCTGTGCTACACCATGTCCTGTTGATGGATGGGATACCCTGTCGGCATCAACTCAGAATGAAACTTTTCTTTCCCGGCGTTTCACATGTTATTTGAATGGGAAAAGAACTTTACTGTGACCCACATTCTCTTGGGTTTATAGTTTTTAAAAGTTTCTATTTCCACAGAGATGTTTACTAAGCTGAGTATAGCTCCAAGTGACAGTAAGATCTTCAAAGCAGATGTGAGTCTAAAGCTATCTAGAAATGTGGCACGTAAGTGACTGGACAGCAGGTGACAGTAGCCTGCTTTTAAAGTACCAAAACATTCACTTCATGAAGAGCACAGTACAGGAAGAATTTTGTCAGAAATAAACACTATTTTGTGGAATAATAATATTTTTAAAATTCTTACTACTCTGTAACTAAACAAAAGCGTTCAAGAGATTGTTATATTTGTGGCTTGATCATACTTGCCCACCATATATTTCAATGACACATATGGTATTAAGACAACATTGTTAAATATTGAGTCGTGAGTGAAAAATAGTTCTGTGACATAGTATTTACAGCTTTGCTCACAAGGAAACTAAAATAATTGTTGATCATAGAATGATTTTCCTATGAATGTGTGCTCCATGGTTTGAATTCAGTCAGGATTTACAGAAAATATTACTTTGTAATAATTTAGAAAATGCTTTAATTGTTTGTGAATATATATGAAATTCACATACTCACCTTTAACATTGTTATATAAATTTAGGACAGAAAAGTTCTAAGCATCTCATGACGATCGTATCAGGAAATTATATGAAATGAATGGTAGGCTGACATTTGCAATAGGAAGAACTCAGTTCTTAGCATAGCTTTCTACCAGAATTGGGATCTTCTTTATTTCTGTGGGTTTCACTCTCTTGAAACAACTGTAAGTTACTGGAACATAAAAATAATTTTCATAACCTTTTTTCTCCAAGCTAACAATGAGCCTTGATTCGAGAGTTCATTTTTCCCTAGACCCCCGCATAGAGTCTGAATATGTGAAGGTTGCAGAGGCTTTGTGCTGTAGAGTGTTGGGAGAGCTCCCTGGATTTGCACAGCTCTAACAGTCTCATGTTCGGGTTCATGCTGTTTGCAGAGTAGGCAGAGCACTGTTTTACCCACACAAGAAGGGATACGAAGGCAAATTCAGGAAGTATGGCAATAAACTTTGCACACTAAACAAAATAGCAGACATTGAACTGACTTCAGGTCACTTACGAGCACTCAGACTGAGAGGTGGGGTGCAGAAGAGGGGGTGCTGGATTTCCCCGTCTGGACCTTGACTTGCCATTTATTGTGTCTGTCACAGCAGGAGTTGAGTGGGAGGAAGTTATGAAAGTGACTCTCTCATCTGTTTTCCCACTCATCAAAACAGCACTCTCCATCTAGTACAAGATCTAAGCCAGGCTGATGACGCACTGGCAGGAAACCCTGGACAGGGCCACTCTCCTTCAACCTTGACACAAAACAGAAGCTGTGCTTTCTGTCCCGACAGGGAAGCAAATGGGGAGTTCAGATAGAAGGGGAAAGTGAAGAATGACTAATATTTACCTAGTGTTTACATTCAGAGTAGGAAGTTTCTTGACAAAGCTTTCTGCCAGGTTTGGGACCTTCCTTATCTCCTTGGCCTTCACTCTCCATTTCAGTTGTGATCAGCCTGAAACCCCTGTAGACTGCTGGGACATGAAAGTCTGTCGGAATGGGGGAAGCAGATGGGGAACTCAGACAGGAGAGGAAGGGAAAGAGGGACCAGTATTCATCTAGTGCTTAATCTGTGCCTGGCAGTTGGTGAGCACTATGTTTAAATGATCTCATTTACAAGTGGCTTAATTGTATGGCTTGATTATTCCTTAAATATTTGACACTGTGTTTATATTTAAATACTGAAATATATTTGCATGCAAGTTGTAGATTAGTTTTTAATTAACTACAGTTCTGTTTTCTTTTACTCCAATAATAGAGTTGACATAAAATACATGTATTTAGAAGGAAATTATTCACATTTTCACTAATGCTATTTGCAGATGGCTGGCCTGGGAAACCTTGGGAAACTCAGATGAGGACTAAATAGTGTTGCACAAGGCACCCAGAGCTCCCCAAGACAGCTGTTTGCCCTCTCTTTTTCCTAAAAGCTGTTGAACTCAGGAAAACTGTGGGTTGTTCTCTACTTTCTGTGTGTCTCACTCTCTGCCACCACGGCCCTCAGTGTTGTAACAGTTCAGCCTTGACGTGTATGAGAAAAAAGGTAGAAAACCCATGTCCAGCCATATGATCATAGGTGTTCCGTGTCAGCAGAAACCAGTGTCAGCAAGGGGGTGCAAAAAGTGTGCACTTGAACCCTCTTCATGGGAACTCTCATTGGCAAAACATTTCTAGGGGATAGTTTGATGAAGGGAAGGTAAGAAAAAATTGTGCAGTCCTTTGGCAGAGTGATAATGCTGCCTCTGGAGCAGGGGTCCCCAAGCCCCTGGCCATGGACCAGTACTGGTCTGTGGCCTGTTAGGAACCCAGCCTCACAGCAGGAGGTGAGTGGAGGGTGAGTGAGCATTACAGCCTGAGCTCTGGCTCCTGTCGGATCAGTGACAGCATTAGGTTCTCATAGGAGCACGAACCCTACTGAGAACTGCACATGTGAGGGATCTAGGGTACATGCTCCTTATGAGAATCTAATGCCTGATGATCTGAGGTGAAACAGTTTCATCCCAAAACCATCCCCCTGACCCTCCAGTCCATGGAGAAATTGTCTTGCCCTAAACCAGTCCCTGGTGCCAAAAAGGTTGGGGACCGCTGCTCTAGAGGTTTGGCTTGTAGAAGGGAGCTCAGTACAAGACTCTTGTAGCTGCAATGCTTTATAATGGCAAGATGGGAAACAAAGTATCTGTCTGTAAAGAATTGGTTAATACATATGAGAACTAGAAGCTTTTAAAACAATAGAGTAGGTCTTTATGTACTGAGATGGAAAAATGGTGCCACATTTTATTGTTCAGTATAGATAGAGTCCCAGAATAATTCCATTTTTGTAAAAACAACTCCAGAGCATCTGTCAGGGTTTTCCAGAGGGACAGAACTAATAGGATAGATGTGGCTGGGTGCAGTGGCTCACACCTGTAATCCCAGCACTTTGGGAGGCCGAGGTGGGCGGATCACGAGGTCAGGAGATCAAGACCATCTTGGCT